GAGAGAGAGAGGGAGAAGGAAAAACAGTTACGGGGAGAGAGAAAAAGGAGGGAGAAGGGAAGGGAGGCGCGGGAGGGAGCGATGCGGGGGACAGAGAGGAGGAAGCTTTTGCATGCACGGCGCCGTCAACAAAAAAAAAGAAAAAGGCACCGAAACAGTTACAGCTTGCTTCTATCCTAATTCAAAATTGAAATCACCATATCCGCGCGCGAAAAAAGCGACGGGGGAAAAGAAAATCTTACGCCTATTCGTATTCACGCAAAATTTCGAGAGTTTTCCCCGATGCGCCCAAGAACATTCACACACCCAAAAAGGACACGTCGAAGTTCCGCTTATCCCGGAATTCCCAACTACCGAGCCCAATTCCCAGTGCGCTCGCTAAGGCATACCTTAATTCCCATGCAAGCGTCGCTCGAAAGATCTCGAAGTGGCGGCAAGCGGGGATTGTCCCCGTGGCGATGCAGTAAACTTCTACCACGTTGCATTGCTCCCATGCAGCACTGAACAGTAGAAGATGCCAGCAGAACGTGGGAGCAGCGGACTGAAGGGAGGCGTGGGGGTGGACGGTGGTGAGTAGACAGGTAGAGTAGAAGTCGCGAAAGAGATGGGGATGGAAAGGATGGGAAGGGAAGGTGACGGGGGTACGGATCTGCTCGAGAGTGAGAAAATCAAGGGGTCTGCGGGACAGCGTCCGAGGTCGAAGGCCTATCGCCCGCATTGGTACGTGGGCGAACTGGGGGACGGGTGGGGCTGGAGGCAGCATTCATTTATTTATTTGTTTATTTGTTGTGCTATTTTTGTCTGTTCAGGCATCATTTCGGACTTGCAGTTCGTCCGAACAGACTTGCAATCTGTTCGGACAAAGGAGGCGTATTTGGCCTTCTACGTTGGCAGGCAGGCCCTGAGGTGCCCTGGCCTGGCCCAGGTATAAGTAGCACTGGGCTTCGCAGGCAGGCCTTGAGGCACACCCGCGAGGCCCCAGGCTACTTATAGCTGGGCCAGGCCAGGGCAGACACAGTTAGCCTATCTCACTTCTTGGGCAACACGCTGCTGGATGTTAGAGGTAGAGCCGTAGGTAGGTAGTAGGGCAGTGGCCATACCTACAGGGGGGACACTTCCCTAGACACCGGCGACCTGCACACAGACACGCTGATGGCAATTAGTGCATGGTGGCAGTTACCTTCAGGTGAGACAGCAAGGAGGACGACATCTTCCTCTTCCTCTACGTCTCGCCCTCCATCTTTCCTCCCTCCTTCCTTCTTCTTCTTCTTCTTCTTCTTCTCCTTCTTCTTCTTCTTCTTCTCCTTCTTCTTCTTCTTCTTCTTCTTCTTCTTCTTCTTCTTCTTCTTCTTCTTCTTCTTCTTCTTCTTCTTCTTCTTCTTTCAGAGAGAGAGAGAGCGAGAACAGGAGGCTGATCAGTGTGCGTGTGCGATGATGAGTGTGTGCAGTGGTGTGAGAGAGGTACGAAGACTCTTACCCTACCGTCTTCATCACCCGAAGAAAACGACCCGCCATTATGGGTCGCCATCTTCGGGCCTCGACGGCTCTGGATCCCTGGTGGGATCGCTACCGATGCGCAGGCTAGCCTCGCTAGCGAACTCCAGCTGGCGCTTTCTGGAGGCAATCTCTTCGCGCTTTCGCGCCACTTCCGGATCTTCCGCCTCCGTTACCGTACGCGTCGCTTCCTCCGGCGGGGCTTCCCACTCGGACCCGGTTCCTTCTTCTTCCTCTTCCTCCTCACTCAGCTCGCCCTCGCTATGTTCACTATAGCTTCCCTCCTCCGATGTCTCCTCGTCGTCGTCTTCTTCTTCTTCGTCGTCGTCGTCAATCACCACTTCTTCTGCCCTCTGGTAGAAGGCGTAAGGGATGATCTCGTATGGCTTCAGATACTCTTGCCGCGATGGTAGCGTATCCTCATCCCTAGGTTCCTCCAACCACGAAGTCCACTGAAGGTACGGATCCAAGGATCGCTCGAAAATGTACGGAGCAGGACTGTTGTCGCTCTGAAAGTAGATGTCGGGCGAGAGATCGTCCGCCAATTGCACGATCGGTGCGATGAGCTCCTGTGCAATCAACTGACGGCGACCCGGTCATACCGATCCAAAGAGGAATCCAATAAGATCTCCTTCCGCGTTAGTCCTCCAACCCTGTATGATCAGCAGCTCCGGATTCTCGATCCACGTGGGGTACTCGATAGTGCCCGTCCACTTCACTTGTACTCGGGTCAGGTAGAAGGACAACTCCTCAAAAGTCTCGCGCCACAACCGCCAATGTCCAGGATGGATAAGAGGGACCGAAAGAGGTTCGAACGAGAAGGAGAGAGAAGGGTGGAGATCAGATTGCTAGAAGGTGGGGAAGAGAGAGGGGAGACCAAAGATGGAGAGAGGAGCGAGAAGTGCAGCGTGGTTCATTGGGGATGGGGGAAGGGGACGATGGTCGGGATCGTAACTGGCCGCTCGCGCGGTGATCAGCGAATGTCGTCAAGGTACGATGCAAAGATCGGGATGATGTTATACTCCTCCCAGGCGAGGACGTGCTGCCACACGTTGGACACTTGCTCCGTCCACTCGCGCTACGAGGCCAAGATCGCGGTATGCCGCAGCGGATTGACCGAGCTAATGTCGCCAGTGAATGCTGCCACTGTGGTGACGTGGCTCGTTCTGGGACCCGCTCGCTGATGAACTGCAAAAACCTCCGCGAACACTATCGCGTGAGGGCTTCCTTCTATCCGAAACGCAGCGGCGACACAGATACCTTCGTCGCAGAAGAATCGCATCAAACGACGGAGATCCGTATTGAGCCGAGGGTGATAAACTTGCCGGATCTCTTAGATTTGGCCACGTGGCTGCCGCAGCTGTGCGTCGAGAACCCGCTTCGTGATGAAACTCATGGCGAGGTCGGAGAGGAGGACGAGGGACAAGAGGGAGAAAGAGGAGAGAGGGTTAGATCGTCGTCGTTTTCCTCGCTTTCCGAGGAAGGAAAGGGAGGAAAATCGGAAGGAGGAAGGAGACGGAGGTAGGAGGTATGTCTGATGATGGGGACAGAGCTATGGCTGGCGCTAGCCTCAGGCGCGATGCGCACCGTGTTAGCGCCGTTGGGTCTGAGTTCGACAATGCGAAAACAACCAGAGAACTTGGGAGCGAGTTTCCGGTTGCGTGCACATTTACGTACGTACACTAGGTCCCCCAATTTATACTGGTACTGGGGCCCAGCATTCCCGTTCCGGGCCTCGTAGCTACGGATGTGTTTACCGTGGGCCAGCTCGGTCATCCTTTGTTTTTTTTGGGCTAGCTTCGGAACGGCTCGTTCCATCAAATCGGTGTACCTTTCGGCCTTGGCCCTGAGGGCCGCACGCGTGTCTCTACCCCCTGCTTCGGCAATTTCCGAGTTACCCGGTAATCGACACAGGGGAGGCTATTAGTTCGAAGCTGAAAGGGGGTAAACCCCGTAGACTCATGAGGGGTGGCCCGGTGGATCCCAACGATCTAATATACGATCTCGGGCCAAGGACGCGTGTCGTGTGCCACTAAGTTCCTGCGAAGGGTGGTTTTAATCATACGGTTGGCATTCTCGGCCAACCCGTTCGACTGGGATACGTGGGGTGCCGTATGTCAGAGCGTGACACCCCTTCGCGCAAGCAGTTCCTCTGCCTCACCTTTGAATTCCGACCCATTGTCAATTATAATTTCTTCCGTTTTTAGATGGTTATAGAGGAATCGTTCGATGTATGTGGCTATTTCGACGGCCTTTTGGGTCTTACAAGGATAGACTTCGATGTATTTGGAAAAATGGTCAATTAAAACTAACAGGATGGAATACTCACGGCGGTTTGGGCCAGGTGGTACGTCAATATCTGTCGTGTCCATACTGACTCGCTGGAAAGAACGCTCTTCTTCCGTTGGCACGGTCGTGTTTGGTCCCCGTATAGGGGCGCGATCAGCGGCACACACCAGACAGTTAGCGACAATGTATTTGACATCATCTCGTATATTGGACCAGAACCATCGATTCTGGTCTATAGTTGCCTCCGTGACACGTATCGCGAAATGAGTGGCCTGTTCCTCGTGAGCAAATCGGATTCAATCGTATCTCTGGAAGGGATGGTGAACTGTCAGCCACGAATCCGATCCATCAGTTTTACGCTTTCCCAAATGACCATTGATCCATCAATAGTCCCGAGATCTTTTGGTCGCCCTACGTCTGTCGTGTTTGGTGAGGTGACCCAATGATAATCCCGCTAATTTCGCCAATAAAGTTTTATCGTCCAGACTTCCACCCATCGGTATTTTTTTGTCGTATTCAGGACCGTCCGTACGGGCGGCCTCGAATCGAACCTTCGTGGGGAGTTTGTTCGTTCTACACAGGGGGCACCTCCATTCCTTGCTACTCGTTCGATATCGAACGCAGGCTCCATACGCACGATTGACACACGTGGTACATTCCACCCAATCGACAAATCCGGTCTCGAAGGGATGACAGTCGACCCCGTAAACCCGTGCAATACAGGTGCAAAAATAGCAGAATTTATCGGGGAGGGTGTTGAAGAAAGTTGAGGAAGTAAGAGGGGCAAAATTAGTAGGAGAAGAAGAAGTTGTGGAGGCAAGTGGGGTAGTCATGGTGGCAGCAGAACATAACAATTAGTCCTCGTGTCACTTACTGCTTTGATAAGATCTCCACTTGGCCGTACCGAGGTCCGATCTCCTGTTTGGGTTCGTTCCACGGAATTACCTCCTCACCCTTTGGAACCTTCTCAGGCCGTTGCAGTCGTGTCAGTCCGTTCGCATTCTCGTGTCTCTCGTGCTTTCAATGACGAACGTCAAAGTCCATGCTCTGCAGCACCGTTGCCCATCGCCCGATCATGCCCGAGTAATCCTTCAACTTCTTCAGAGCCAACAGGGCCTCATGATCAGTCACCAGGGTTAATTTTCGTCCGTACAGGTAAGCACGGAAGTGACTGGTTCCCCAGAGAGCCGCATAGCATTCACCCGTTGGAGCGGCGTAATTGCGCTTGCAGGCGGGCACTGATTTGGACGCATACTCCACTACACTCTCGAGTCCGCTCGGTCCCACATGGGCAAGGATTTCGCCTCTGGCTGCCAGTCGGTGATGAGAACAAAAGGTTTTTCGGGATCCGGTCTTATAAGGACCGGAGCCGAAATGAGAGCAGCCTTGAGTTTGGAAAACGATTGATTGCACTCCGGCGTCTAGATCAACGGCTGATCCTTGTGCAGGAGATTTGTGAGGGGTCCCGCAATCACCGCGAAGCCCTTAATAAATCTTCGGTAGTACGAGGCTAGGCCCAGAAAGGCGCAAACTTGCGTGATAGTGGTAGGCACTGGTGCGTCCCTGACAACTGCCACCTTCTGCGGCTCCGGTTGGAGTCCCTTGTCTGTCACCATGTGCCTTAGGAAAGAAATGGTGGTGAGGAAAAACTGACACTTCTCAAGCGCCACTTTGAAACCTGCATCTCGTAGCGCATGCAGTGCCCATTTGATGTGTTGCACGTGTCCCTCGTAGGAGCTCGAATACACCAAGATGTCATCCATGTACACAATCACGCAGTAGTTGATGATGCTCTGCGCCAGGCGAGTCTTCCGCACGAAATTATGAAAAGCCATGTTCATGGCCCGCTGAAAAGTTGCAGGGGCGTTGCAGATACCCATCGGGCATCGAATCCATTGCCACGTACCTTCGAAAAGCACAAACGCGGTTTTCGGGCAAGCTTCTTTTCGAACAAGAAGATGATGGAACCCATGACGAACATCAAACTTGCTGAAAAATTGAGCACTCCCAATCGCATCCAATAACTCATCAATCTGGGGTAGGGGATACACATCTTTAATCGTGATATCATTCAGCTTTCGATAATCAATGCAAATGCGAATCCCCCCAGCCTTCTTGGGTCCTATCACTACAGGAAAAGACCATGGTCCTATGGCGGGTTTGATCCATCCATTAGCTTCGAACTCCTTAATCCGCTGAAAGGCGGCCGATCGTTGAGCTGGCGAGTATCGGTAGGGAGCGCAGCTAATGGGCGGATGATCTCCCGTGAGAATGGCATGTTCAATTACATTCGTTAACCCAATATCATTGTCATGCACGCTCAGCACTTCTGCGTAACCATTCAATACACAGATTAACGACTTCCGAAGTTCCGCGGGAACGTGACTCGATCCAATCAACCGGCCGTTCCCGCCGCTCATGGACACTAGAGAAAACGGAACTACTGGTGCGAACAGATAAGACAGTTGCTATCATCTGGGACTCAACGGGGTTGATCATCTCCGTTTCTTTAGTTTCAGCGTCAGTCTTTGAACCAACCGAAGTCGGTTTCACAGTTAGCCCTGTTAGATCCGTCATTTCTTGGATCAGATTAGGTACATCATTTACCGGCGCTTCCGCCTCTTGTTTAATCAAGGCGATGGTGGCTCCTGTCGTTAGTAACGATCGGGGTGGAAAAACAGAAACGTCCAAATATTGTTCTGTTTGCTAATAACGCGTTCGTAAGGAAAGAGCTCCCTCGTACAAGGTGCGAGGGGGTTCCAAATCATCAGCCATATCGGAAACTTGTAATATGGGCTCCCCGAGGAGGACTGAAGGACTGACCTGGGTTGTTAGAGGCGTGAATGCAATGTCTTCAGAATCCACGTGGAAGCTCCGAGCAGTGTCGGGGTACACTCGAAATTCTTCGGGGGTTTCATGTTCGAAAAGTTCAACTAGATGCTTCCATTCCTCTTTGCTGGGCATCTCTTCTTCGTATTCTCGTTCCCTGATTCCATCCCCGAGGCGTGAGGGGGAGCACTCCTCGGGATCAATGCATCGAATCATCCCTATTTGGGTCGGGCTAGGGATCCGCTTTATTGTTCAGGTGGAAACTCGCAAAGGAACAGTTTGAGGTTTTCCCTCGGTTTGTGTGAGTACCAGTTGTCTCGAATCGAAATGCAGACCTCCACCCACCACCATTGCCTAAGGTAATCCCAACAACAAAGAGTAGGAATGCACATCTATTATGAGTGCGTTAACAAGGACGTGTACTCGCCCGACCTTTACCGCCACGTTCTCGATAATGCCTACAATGTTCATTGCTTCCTCATCAGCAGAGACATAGTTGTCTTTGCCCGATTAAGGAAGAATGGATCCAAGTCGTCCCGCCTTTTCAACAGTCTCCAATGATATGGCCACTGAAGAAGACCCTGTGTCGATTAGGGCATTAAATGGTTTACCCCAAACTTCACAGTCACATTCCGCACTTTTCCATAGTACTGACCTAGCTCGTACGAAGTGATCCTTTTCTGCTAAAGAGATCGCTGCTATTCGTGCGGCTTCAGGTTCTTTCGTGTCAGGCTCGGGAGGTGCAATCTCCTCATTTCCTTCCTTCTTCTTCAACATCCGTTGTATGCGCTGATAGGCGAAGCGCTTTTGATTTTTCTCACAATGTTGTAGAAGTTTATCGTTCGATATGGTAAGCAGATGTCCTACTGGGATAGGTACACGAATATCTAATTGCTTGAGCGTTTTCAATACATCAATATCTCCTGTCCGAAACAGTGGTCCAGGATTGGACTCCCGATCGACCCACTCCAGATCATCTTGGGCCGATCGGATCGCTCCGATCATTCCGGCAAGATGGAGATACTCGAGGGGATCGATCACGTCAGCAGCGTCAGAGGAAGAAGCTCCTAAGGTCGACACTATTATCGCCGAAGAGGAAGGCTGTTCTAGAGCATACGCTACGAGCTCTCCTCCCTGGTCCGTGTCCATCTATTTTTGTTTCTTCGGCTGCGGACAGTCTCGGGTAAAATGCCCGGGCTGTTTGCAGTTGAAACACTCGATTTTTCCTGCCGGATTAGCTAGATGGGGATACTGAGGGGTGAATCCTGGAGCAGGTAGGAGCGGAAACGATGCAGGGGTAGGCCGAGCAGGAGCTGGGTTAGGCTTAATGAGCCTGCTCATTATTTGTTCCATTCGTTCCATATGAGCGGCCTGCATTTGGATCAGGTTGCCCATCCATTCGGACTGCTTAGTAGTAGCCGTGTGGATCATCTGGGCAAGGTGTAGATTGGTTATGGCCGGCGAGGGGGGTTCAGATGAAGTTCCGCTTCTAACGGCTGCGATCGATTGATTTATTGGTGGAGAGGGAGGAGAAGCAGTCCGGATATCGGAAACGATCCCCCCGGGAAGGTAATGGTCGGGGCGGGGATAAAACCGTTTGACAGACTTTAGCCATGATCGCCTTTTGGCCGTTACATCCCGTATGGTATCTGTAATGTCCTCGTCTCCCTGGCTGATATATTTTTTTGTATCAGCCAAGTCTAACTCCAACGCTTAAGCGATGATAGCCGATAACTGGTGTGCTTTCGGCGGAACCTTTTTCTGCAATTTCCCTTTCAGTGTCGGACTTCGTAGGTGATCGATGAACAAATCTCGAGCGGATTTCTCATCCCGTCCGGATTTGTCCAATGTGGTTTGAAACCGATCGACGAAATCGGGCAACAACTCCCCTGGTCCTTGGGGTCGATTTTTGAGCACGTACCAGGCGGCATCTTCAATGACTGTATCGAATCGAGCCAAAAAGGTTGTCTTGAAAGTAGCCCAATCTACCCATGTATGTTTCCTAAACCAGTCGTGTGAAGTGTTGTAGAGTAGCAATGTCAGAACGCGGGGGAGATCACCTGCGCTGTAGTTCTGAGTTTCGACAGCTTCCAGCCAAGCCTCGGGATGAGTATGGTCAGGGCAGAAGAGGAAGGGGGGAGGGATGCTAACGATCACCCTCGTACCGTCCACCATTGGTATTGTTGGTGCAGCCGCACTAGACTGAGACCGAGTTACTGGGCGATCCCGACGAGTTAGTTGAGGGTTTCTCCTACCTTTCGCCAGTTCGACTTACTATCATCAGAACCGACACGTGTCGGCTCCGATACCAACCTCACGACCTGTGCTGTCTTCCGTTCAGAGTGTTAGCTGTGCGGAAAAGAGGCCCAGAAAAACAGCAAGATGGTGTGTGCCAAGGATTTTTGGAAATTGAGTGTGGGGACACAGACGAAACTAAAATCCTCCGTGTTGGTCCGATGGAGCAAGTCGATCGTTTTCGTGCGCCGCGAAATGCGCGCGCGGGCGAGGCAGGAAGAGAGAAAAAGATTCAAATGCAATCCAAAAAGTATTGTCGTGCCTCCCACCGGGCTACAGCCCGTCGTTTAGAACAGAAAGGCTTGTGCACGCTTCGCGTGTCCCGTTTTCGTATCAGATCTCGTCGTCGTTCGCTGGTTAGTTCCGAGTCCGACGTGGATGGTCTCAGTCGCGTGGCTCTTTCTTTATGCTCGTCTTCACTACGCACACGGTAGTGGAATCCCTTGAACTCGTAGCGCTCAAAACGTTGACATTTGGTGCACAGAGTGCGCGCCCAGTGAGGTTCTACTGCCGTCCACGGAATGGCGATCAACTCGTTAAATGGCAACAATACCGAGTAAGGTGGGAAGTGCGTATCGATAATAACAAATCCGGCTTATACGAACCCAGAACAACGGTTGGCCGGAGGGAAGTAATACTGCCAGCCGATTTGTGCAACGGCTTCTCGTACGTCCCACTCACATACACGTGTCCTTGCCTCACTGTAAGGAAAAAGGTCGCGTTGGGATGGGAGGTACGGGAGGCTGGCGCCCAATCGAAGGGTACTTGTCAGTCCACATGTCAATCAATCACAAAATATCCTGAGACGTCATTAAGAACAAAAAGCGAT